ACTTTTGCATTACAATCACCAATAATTATCAATGCACCTTGATTACATGTTTGATCAATTTCTGATCCAAGTAATTGATAGAATTCTTCAGTTTCTTCATCCCTAGCTTTTGTGGTTGATACATAAATTTGAATAATAGTTGTATTGATTGGCTTTCCTGGAAGGTGGATAGATAGATATATTCCTATCACAAACAACATTTTACTTAATGATGGATTTAGCAAGATCCTTTCTGACGATGAATGCCACACTTTTCCTCTAGATTGTATTATTCCGGGATAGTAAATCATCTGATTTTATGATTCAAAATGGCCAATATAAGTTCATTCAGTTCACTAATGCCTGCTGTACTGACCTTCATGTGGTCCAGTTCATTTTGACCTTTTCCAATTTCTCTAAATTCGCACTTCACACATCCAAGTACCGATCCTTAGAAGATTTTTGTAGATGGTTCTCCTTAACTTGAGCTGTGCCCCATCAGCATAGGAAGACCACAAGGGCTCCACTCCCCAAGGCTTTCCTCAACTCACATCACCAAGAAATCAGCATCTCTTCCATCAAATTTCGCCGTGCCCATGGGCTGGAGGGGCCCATCTGCCGGCAGTAACTGCTACAATGTTCTGCTTCCTTTGTCTAGGCGTTCACTAGTTGGCAGCACTACAGAGCTGTCCACAAGGCTTTCAATGGCTGCTTCATGTGAAGTGGGACGCAAGTCCTTCTTTGTTGTCGGTTCTTGGTCTGGAAGCTCCGCTGAAAGCTGTTCACTTGGTTGACCCTGCTGGCATTTGAAACACCAATGACACAGCCCACACAGCATCACAGCCACACACAAGCCACCACAGTAGGACAAGCTGACAGACAAGTGGTGGTCCTGCCCAATAGTCTGAAGGAATTGAATGGTGGCTTAATTCAGATGGGCACTCTGCAAATGGATTTTAGGCTTTCACTGTCATCCACAGTTGAGACTAAAAGTCTCTACAGGTACAGATAACTCCATCTTTCTCCCTCAGAGTACTTGTTGATTCAAACTCCCAATCTTGCAGTTAGCAGTTCAATCCACCTGACAGCACCACTAGGGCTACTTTTTTCAATAAATAGCTGAAAACATCTACTCGGAGAACTGCACACTCACATTCTCTACTATCACCACTAGGAGACAGGTGGTGAGTTGTTAAGATCTCACCAACATACAGTCATAAGTTAAATACAGCTACAACACCCCAACAATGTCTCAGCAATTACATGATTTCAATTCATATGTAGAAACAAGCCATAGTAGCTCAAACAAGTCACCAAAACACAGCCAGAAAGCCTTTCAGAGGAAGAAATTCAAAGGAATCATCTAATTGAGAGACAGATCATGAAAGCTACAGACAAAAGCTAGACAACCCAGCAGGGTTGATGGAGAAACTTTAGAAGAATCAAGAAAACACTTGACCAAAGTGACAAAACAAATGAATAATTTGAAGCCACACAAAAACAGCAAATAGAAAACCAGAAGATTAAATCTGAGATTTTGAAAATAGATAATACATTGACTAAGCAGTAGAGTAGAATTGAATCACTAGGAGTTTTCATTAGTAAGCCTGGAAGAGAAACTTTCAATACTCATCTACAAGAGGAATAAAAAAAGAAAAGAATTTTAAAAATCAGAAGGCTCAGAATTATGTGGGACATCATCAATAGGAATGTTACATATGATACAAATTCCAGATTAGGAAGATTAAAAATAAAAGCACAGAGAAAATTGTCCAAAAGTTGTTGAAATAAAACTTTCCTAAGATCCTGAAAGATGATAAGATATTCATTCAAGAAGCTAAACCAACCCCAAACAGGATAGGTTCCCCCTGTCTCCCCAAATCACCACAATGTGTTATTATTAAGCTTTACAAAACCAAAGACAAAGACTTCTGAGAGTAGCTAACTTCTGATAAATGAACAGCTACCTACAAAAAGAAACCAATTAAACTAAGCTCTGATTTCTCAGTAGAAACCATGCAGGTAAGAAGACAATGGCAGGACATACAGAAATTCTGAAATTAAAAAAAAGCCAACCAAGATATGCTCAGCAAAATTATCCCTTGATCATGTTGGTGAAATTAGAACATCTCCCAATAAACAGAAATTAAAGAAAAATTTTAAATAAAGAAGCAAGCAAACAAACAAAAAACTAGATCAATCTTATAAAAGATACTAAGGGGAGTTTATTGGACAGAGAACCAATAATAGCAGACAGCAATGTGAACTTTATAGACATGAAAGAAAAAGAAGGGAAAAAAATCCAGATGTCAACCCAGATTTATAATTACACAAAGTAAAACAAGTGTACAAGAATGCATATAGAGAATCAGACATACCAATTGCTAATGAAAATAATAGCAAGGAAAATAGATTTCAATCTCTCTGCATCCCCTCCAGCATTTTAAAAAAATTAGGCTTTAATTTCTAGTGCAAGGTAATATCATTGTTTTGTTTTGTATCTCTAGGATGGCTAATGATTGTGAATATTTTTCACGTGTTTGTTAGCCATTTGAATGTCATTGTCAGTGAATTGTTTGTTCTTGTCTTTTGCCCAGTTTTAAATGGGATTATTTAATTTTCTTATTTTAATATCTTCAATATTCTAATAGAATTTTTGAAATTGTTTTCTTGTTCAATGTATTGTTGCTAAATATATTTTTTTCCTGTCCACGGGTTCTCTTTTTACTCTTTTGATGAAGTAAAAAATAAATATTGAAGTCAAACATCAATGTTTCATTTTATAAGGTCCAGTCATCTATTTCGTCTTCTACTGTGTTAGTCTGGGTAGACTAGGGAAACAAATCCATAGAAATTCATATGTTTGTAAGACAAATTTTTATATAAAGGGTAATTGTACATTAAGAAATCATCCCAACCCAGTCCAGTCCAAGCCCATATGTCTACTATTAGCCCATATGTCTGATACCAATCTATAAAGTCCTCTTCAGATTCATGAAACACATGCAATGACGCTGAATGCAGGACAGTCACAGGCCAGTGGATAGAAAGTCTTTGGATCTAGTGGTGGTGTAAGCATCTCAGTGCTAGCAGGGGTTTCCATGCACCTTCTCCAGCACCCAGAGCTGCATCAGGGCAGGTCCATGTGGCTTCTCCTTAGGGATGTCTTGCAGGGGTCTGCCTTGTCAGTAGTCTCCAAGGGAGTGAGCGTAGAGAGAAAATGTGTCTCCCTGCTCCAAGGAGGAAAAACAGGGATTCCCAGAATCCTTAGGAGAAGGCCATGCCCACACAGAGGCCTCATTGGCTATATCCTGATTGACAGCCTAGACTCCACCCTTGTACTCTTAATCCTCAAATTGACACCACATCTACTGTGTATGCCTTCTCCATATATTTAAAGAGGATATTTATTAAGTCTTAAATTAAGACAATGCAGTATAAAGGCATATACTCCAGATGAATGAGACCATTAGCATGATGTCTTAATGGGGTCCAAGGAGTAGGGTACTTTTTCTCATCCATTCTATTCAGCATATTACTGAAAGTCATAAGCTATGTTAGAAAAAGAAAGAAAAGTTAACAAGCCTGGAAACGAGGAAGTGAAATTTATTTGCAAATGACATAAATGTCTGCAGATAATGTGAAGAACCTAAAAAACAATACTTCAACCAATAATTTAATACAAATTTCAAGATAAAAGGTTATTATACAAAACTAAATTATAAATCTACACCCCAAATTCCAAAGTATTTCTGAAAGCAAATTTAAAAAGGCTTAAATAAACAGTGAGATATTATTTAATTGAAGGACTCAAAATAGATCAGATGTAAATGCTCCTATAGTTAATACAGAGAGTCAATGCACTCACAATCAAAATCCGAATAGACTTTCGTGAAGATATTGACAAGCTTATTGTAAAATTTGTGTGGAAAGGCAAAGGATCTGAAATCGACACAAGGATCCGAGGAAGAAAATGTTGGAAGACTTTCTTTTATTTGAAGACGTACCATAAAGGCTACATACAATAGTCAAAATATTGTCATATTGGTGTAAGCATGAGCAAATAGACCAATGGAAAAAATAAGGTGTTGGAAATTAAGTCACACATATACAATCACTTGCTGTTCCATGAAAGTGCCAATATAATTCACCAAAGAAAGGAAATGCTTTCGACAAATAGTGCTGGAACAAGTTGGCATCCATATGGAGAAAATGAATCTTGATTTGTATCTAACAACCAACAGAAAAATTAATGTAAGATGATTATAAATTTAATGTAAAAGTTAAAATCATAAAGATTCTGAAACAAAATATAAAGAATTTGAGTGAGACCATGATGCATTGAGACACAAAGCATTTGTTATAGAAGAAAAAAGTCAATAAATGGGACTTTATTAAAATTAAATACTTTGCTTATATGAAACTATTAAATAAAAAGGCAAAGGTCAGCAGGCAGAAAATATGTCAGCATGAACATCCGACACAGGATTTGCATTCATAATGCATAGCATAAAAGATTTTTAGAAATAGTTTCTAGATACCACGGTAATGCCAAGTTTCTAAAGTTTTTAAGTGATTACTCTTAATTTCTGTACTAAAATCATAAAGCAGTAAGAATTGTTTGTGTATTGACACAGGTTTAAGGACCATATGTTGGGTGGCACTACCTTATTGATTATAAGTTCACAAAATTTTCTGTTTATTATTTCTTTTATGAGCTTCATTTCTTTTTCAAATGTTCAAAGTGCTGAAGAAAAAATTTTTTACCTATCCAATGATAAACTAAATGATCATTCATTTCAATTGATTGAAATTATAGAAATCAATTCTGTAATAGTATGTGATATTTTATTTCTGGGATACTAGTTGCTTTTAGACAGTATTTATTACTTATGTGTTTAGGCCTACTTTCCAAAATGTATATTACAGCATTTGGCTTTGTTATTTGTCTTTGATGTACGTAATTTGGTTTCTGAGCTACTTCTTGGTCTGTTGTACTTACCCTTTGTTTTCTCCTTTAGGGTACATCATGGAAGGGTTCCTCCTCTTGCAATATTTTGTGGATAAGGCCATCATGTTGTATCATAACAAATCGGGTGCAGACATCTTGCAAGATGTTACCATTTATGTTCAACGATTTCCAAACCTAAAACATAAACAAGATACATTCTTTAAAGAGTCTATTACTTTTATTCCATTGGTAGTCTTGTTTATGTTTTCTATTAATCATTTTACCCTCGTTCGATCCATTGTGTGGGAAAAGGAAAACAGATTGAAGGTAATTCCATTTTTCTCTTGATAGAGTTTCTGTAGAATGAATGTATGTTGGGTCTGAGGGACAAATTTATGTGGAGGGTTGGATTATATCTGCACATTCAGCATTTAAAGATGGTAACATTTCAGTAGCAGCCAAGTAGTGAGCACATACATTTCTTGACAATTTTGTAAGATTTTATGCTTTTATCAAAATTGTTAGTTTAGATTTCTAGTCTGTTTTTCTAAAAGACTACTCTCAAGAATATTACAGATTGAACTTAAGTGCCAAATACCCTAAAAATCTTTTTGGAATCAGGTAGGCTACAAAAAGATAATCAAATAGGATTTTGGAATCATATCATGATGAATTAAAAATCTAATTAATTTACAAGATTCTGTGAGTCTGTGATTTTTGCTTTTACCAATTACTAATCTCTGAAATTTTCTCTTCATAGCAACCTGGGTACAGCAGAGCCAAACACCACAGCCTCCTCACAATCGTTCTTATTTAGGGCCCATTATCGCAGCCACGGTGGGAATTCATCTTATCAAGGGCCTTCCTCTTTTTCACTGCCTCTCTCCTTCATCAAGCATGACTTCCTGTCCCAGGAATTGAGCTCTCTTGATAACGTAACCAATGAATGTGAGACAGAGTCTAGCCTTCCTGCGTTCTGAGGAGCATTCTGGTTGTACTTCTTACAAGACAGATTAGTTTGTTCTTTTGGCAATATGTGGCATTTTCAATACTCTTCGCCAGCACCATAACGCAAATGCATCAATTCTTCTTTGGTTCTCTTTACTCGATGTCCAGTTTTCACATGTGTATGAGGCAGTATAAAATACAACTTGTCTGACAGTGGGTCGTCCTGTGGTGGCTTGTGCTTGCTGAGATGTTGGGAGATATGTCACTGGTATTTCAAATACCAGCAGGGTCACCCAAAGTGACCAGGTATCAGTAGAGCGTCCATCCGAAGAACAGATGGCGGAAGAGGGAATATGCTCTCACCTTGGAGGAAGGAGCCACTGAAAACCTTAAGGACAGCAGCCGAACATGGTCAAATGACCCGTTAGGATCTGTCAATTACCACACGTTGATCAACAGCATGTTGTGTTAAGATCAGAGACTTTGTAATTTGGCGTTAAATTATTCATCCAGCCAGCCATTTGTTCAGTGATTACTCATTTATTTATATAACCTTCCCTAACTATTTATTTTGTTTCAGAGACCCCGGTAAATCAGATGGTTGAATCTGAGCTCTAGGACTTATTGGATCTATAATATATTATATAACTCTACTAACTCATGTGTACATCAGGTTTAATAAAACCTAACTTGCAGCGCTGATGGAATGTTAAATGAGCTGTGTGAAAAATTATCATCCCCCCAATTACTCATAACCTACCATTGTGAGGTATAATGAGGACGATAGGTAGAATGCTTACTGCAGTGGTTGGCACACAATGACTGTTCAGTGTCTGTTAGCTGTAATTATTGAAAGCATCATCTCTCCATCGATCTCCTTTGTGCAATCATGAGCTATGTCATTTGCTTCCTTTATTAATGGTCACACTACTCTTCAGGCCAGGCTAACATTATTACTTAATTATCTAGCTCAGGGTTCTTGTCAATCATCTCCCTCTCCACTGTCTCCCATCTACCTTGTATACTGTTGCCAGATAATTGTCCTAAAACATGGATAACTAGATAAACATGCATTTTAGAAACTCCTTATTGACCCTGAAACTCCATTTAAACATATAAAGTTTCTAAGGTTTGGTTCACATCTACTGCTCATTTTGGGGGGTGATGTTTTGTTTTTTGTTTTTTACTGTTTCTTGCTTTAGTCCAATAAAACATTTTATTTCCTCTCAGGCAAATATTAGTGACTTATTCTGAAGTTTGTTTCCTCTGTTTATAATGCTCTTTCCTTTCTTTTCTGATTGGGGGAACAAAGTGTTAATTTTCCAGTTAGCTTTCATGGCTACCACATCCTTGTTGATATTCCTCTTTAATTCTCAACTATAACAACATTTCTTCCTTTTTATTTTCACAGTATAATAGACAAATTCAATTATATGTCTTGTAATACTTTTTACTTTTAAACTTTTTCATTGAACATACAGAGAAGTATGCAGAACACAATTGTGCTTATTTAAAAATTCTTGAAAATTCATGGACCTTTTGATTGCCATACACATTTTAGAATCAGCTTAACAATTAAAAAAACACTACTAGAAATTTTACTAGGAATGCAAATTAGGATTGACAGCCCATAATAATAAAATTTCCAATTCATGAATATAGGATATTCTTTTATTACAAGATTTTTAAATTACATTTTGTATCATGTAAGTTTTTGTGTAAATATCATGTACATTATTCATAGAATATTTTTCTTGGTAGTTTATTATTTTTAGTGTTATTGCAATTAATAATCCTTACTCATTTTCTGCATGTTGCAAACATATAAGAAACCAATTTTTATATTCATTCTATGTTCACCAACTTTGCTAGACTTTCTCATTAATTCTAACAATTTTAGATGAACAAACCATATTGAGGTTAATTTTCCTTCTCTCTTCTCTTGCTGTCAAACGGATTCTAGCTGGTAGTGATAGTGTCTGTTACAGTGTGGAACTGAGCCCCTTAGGGTGTTCTTGCCTAAGTGGTAAACCTTTCTTCAATGGCACAAACCACCACCATTTTTATTAATATCCAAGCACAAGCTTTCTGTGCCACTCAGGTACAAGGAAAGTTTTATTTCTTCTCAATCATTTTACCTTTTTTCCCTTTTTCTCACCTTTTTTGCACTGCCTTGTCTTCACTTGCTGTTTGCTCTACTATCTTAAGTGCAACATGAAATAGAAATGGCAATATAGATATCCTTTCATCATTTCTGATTTCAGAAAGAAAATATTCAACATCTACCTTTAACTTTACTGTAGGTTTTATGTAGAGACCTTGATTAGGTTAGGAAAGCATTCTTTTGGTACTCGTTTGCTAAGGCTTTTGTTTGCGTGTGAGCTGATTCTGTGTTTTGGTAGATGGTTTTTCTGTTTTTTAAGATGATTGTATGATTTCTCCCTTTTGGTGTTAAAGTGGTGAATAAAATAATACATTTCTATTGTTGAAAATATGCACAAGAAATTATACACTACTTCAACAAATTTTACATATATCATTCAGTGATTCTATTCTTCAAGTTGTGCAAACATTCTCACCCTTCTTTTCCAAATCATTCATTCCTGGTTGACATAACCCTCTCTCCCCAGGGATGTATCTAAACTCATGGGTTTCAGTTGTCAGTTTGGTCAGTAGATTGCTCTCAGGGCTTCATCCAGCCTCAGTGCCTCCAGAAAGGATGGAATCCAGGAAAATTTGATATTATGTTGGGATTTCCCCCCTTTTGTTCAGTACTCCTTTACAGAATCATTGGTCCTAATGTTTGATAATAGTGCTCATGCACCATCCACTTTTCCTGGTCTCATGGCAAAGAAGGCAATTGTTCATAGAGACCATTGGCCATGCATTCCATTTCCTCCTCCTATTTCTGACTCAGGAACTCTGGTAACAGAGGGGTGACATACTTGGCTGCTAGCCCAAAGGTTGGCATTAGAACACACCAACTCCTCAATGGGAGAAAGTTGTGGCAAGTGCTTCCAAAAAGATTGCAGTTTGGGATATATGTATATATCTGTAAAACAATAAGAAGGAGAAGGAGGAGACGATGGCGGCACTGTGGTTGCTTATGCACAAATATACACATGGCAGGGTTTCTTGCTTTAGTGGTTTTGAGTCCTGGTTTCATAGGACATCTCAGTTAATTGGCCTCCCAGTTTATTGTGTAGTATCTAAAATCCTAAAAAGCTTGCATATTGCCACCCAAGGTACAACAATTGGCTTCTATTTGCCTGAAACAACAGAGGAAGGAGAGTCAGGAAAAATGAAGGCAAAATGCACTTCTTTAGAGTCAATTCCCAGTCACAAGCGATTTTACAGGACAAAGCAGAACTGCTTCCTAGGGTTTCCTCAGATTGTTAGAACGTGGTTGTATTATTTTCACATCCCCCCAAGTAAGGAATGAGCACTCCCGATGCTCCGTGTTCTCATGAGCACTTGGTGTTCTCAGTGTTTAGATCGTGGCCTTTCGTTCAACTTGAAGTATAGTGGCATTTCACTGTTATTTAGATCTGTGACTCCCCTAAGTCAGGGGTTGGTGAACTTTGCTTCATGAACCACCTGTGGCTCTTTTGGTATATACATGTGGCTCTGAAGTAAAATTGAAATCATTTAAGAGATTATTCAGATAAAGGTGATTTCATTTGTTTG